CCCGAGACGGCCGAAGAGGCCCCCGCGACCGTTCCAAGATGGCCGAAGAGGGCTCCGAGACGAGCTCACGGCCGCGGGCATCCAAAATGTGGCTCGGGAGTGGAGTTCTGGGAGCTCGCGGAGCACAGAGTGGCCTACAGGTGGCTCTGGGTATCTAAAATGTGGTCTGGGAATCGTGTTCTGGGAGCTCTTAGAGCACGAAGTGGCCTACAGTTGGCTCCAGGTATCCCAGATGTGGTCCGGGAGTGGTGTTGTAGGAACTCGAAGAGCACGAAGTCGCCTACAGGTGGCTCCGGGAAACCAAAAATGTGGTTTTGGAATGGTGTTCTGGGAGCTCGAAGAGCACGAAGTGGCCTACAGGTGGCTCGGGGCATCCCAAATGTGGTTCGGGAATGGGGTTCTGGGAGCTCGAAGAGGACGAAGTGGCCTACAGTAGTGTCGGGGCATCGAAAAAGTTGCTCGGGCATGGGATTTGTGGAAACGTGGAGCACGAAGTGTGTGACGATTTGCTGTAAGCGAGCGCGGCCGTCGCTGCAACCGCTGTTATGTCAAAAGGGCAGGATATTTTGCCAGGTGGTCAGGAATCTTGTTCGCACGCGTGGAACAAACACGGGTGCCAGCGCGGACGTGTGCCGCGGGGGAAGAACAGAGAAGTTCGGCGCACAGAGCGCGACAGCACGTGTGGAAACGGCGTGATGCAGTATCGGATAAAAGAAGCGTGCGAAAAAGAAGTGGGTAGTAGGGAATTGCAGAGCGATGTGAAATGGGGGAGGGCAAGAGGAAACACGGGAGCAGACGACTCAGAGAGGAAGGAGGAGAAACTGGAGAGCGGGAGGAGGCGCGAACGGCGTGGCTGGGAGGCAAAAGTGCCGGCGGCGCCAGGGCGAGTCAGCGCGCCATGTCTGCGACAGAAGGGTTGGGAAGGTAGAAGAACGGGAGCAGACGATGCAGAGGAGGGAGGAAAGGATGGGAGAGGGAAGGGAGAGGAGCGGCGTGGCAGCAGGGCATACGTGGCCGCGGCAGCCCGGCAAGATCCAGGGCGCCGGGCTGGCCCAACTAAACATGCGCGGGCCGCGGAGTCAATGTTATGCCTGAGGATGCGCGCTGTCGTTGCACGGCGCGCCGTCGAAGGACATCAGGGGTCGCGGGCTGATCGGCGCACCGCGCCGAAAGCCAGCAGGGAGGCCTGGCGCTTCGCAGGCGGCTCCCCCACGACGCTCTTCTTCATCAGCGGCGCGTGGCTGGTGGTCCGTGGCGCGTACATCAAACTGCCGCTCATGGAGGAGGGGTCTGGCGCGGCCAAGCCGGTGCGGAACCGGCGCGTTCGAAATTTGCCGCTGGCCGGCACCGCCAGAGCGCCTCCCTGCAAGACGTGCCGTATCTCGCCCACGCGGATCAGGAGGCCGTCGTTGTGCAAGGCCTTGGTCGCCTTCACGGATTCGCACGTCCAGTGCTCGGTGTTGTTGAAGCTGAGCGTGGGGCCTGGGAACTCGAGGCCCTGGAGTTCCGGGCGCGTACGGAGGTGGTCGATCAGGCGAACGCCGAGGTCCTGGCCCTGGGCAGAGCTCCATGTTGCAGGGAATTCCACGGCCGGGTAGGCGAGGCGGAGGTAGGAGTAGCAACTGGGACCCACGGCTCGCATCTGAGAGGCGTCGCAAATCACGTCAGGACAGTCGAGACACATCTGCCAGGCGTGGAAGTGGCTCGTCCCGCCGATGGACATGAAGAAATGCCAGAGACGGTCGGTCGTAGTCATGCTTGGCCACTGGCGGGCCGCGGTCTCCGTCATACTGAATGTGACGGGGGTGCCGGGCTTCTTCTCGGAGGTCTTCAGGAGTACGCGCGCAGTCTGTGCCAGGTCGTCGGGAGCCCCGTCGAGGAACCCTCGCGGCAGAGAGTGCAGGAGGTCCCGGACGGCGATGATGCGCATGCGGAGCTCGATCTTGCTCTCACCGTGGAGGATGCCGTCACCGAGGCTAGTGTTGTCGAGCAGGTGGTCCAAGGCGTCTGGGTCGATGGTGTAGCCACGATCGTACTTGAGTCTGTGAGGGCCTTCCAGCAGGGCGCACACGGCGTCTAAAGAGTACGTCTTGCGGCCGATGTACACGAGCCAAAGATACTCAGGCCAACTTTTGGCTGCAGAGACAATCCGGCGGATCTCCAGGGTAACCTTGTCCAGCTCCCGGGACGTGGCACAGAAGAAAGTATCGGCCATGATAGAAGCAACCGCCGCTTTGAGCGAGACGGGCCCCTCGGCGGGAACGACCTCGAGAGAGTCTGAAACTATCGTGGGATCGAGGAGGAGCCGCGCACGGTGTCGCCGATCTCGTTCAAGCCACGTCGCTCGGAAGAGAGCGAGCATGGCGTCGTCAACTTGGGACAGGCCGCTTATGCCACAGGCCGCCTCAAAGCATTCCGAGGAGCAGAATACGGGTTGCACGGGTTTGCCCGTGGTTCCATGAGTTTTGAGGTTGTCGTTCAACAGAAAGCTGCACGAGGGACTCGTGCGAAAGTCGAGCAGGGCGTTGACTGTGGAAAGCTGGGAGCACGAACAGCCTTGGAACGCACATCCAGGCCGGACCATCTCACAGCAGCGAACGTGGCCGAGAAGGCGGTGCAGGCTGCTGGAAGGCTCGAGCATGAATGGCCATGGAGAGGAGGGTAAGCAGGAGCAGGTGCAGGATGAGTCAGGATGAGCGGGATAGGAAGCCTGTGGGGGGATGCGTTTACTCAGGCAAGCTGATTTCGTGGTATGCGAGCGTGATAGGCTGAGCGTCCTGCAGACGTCAGTGTAGCCGTTTGGGACACATGTGAGGAGGAGGAGGAGGAGGAGGAGGAAAAGAAGAGGAGGAGGAGGAGGAGAAAGAGGAGGACGAGCAGGAGCAGGAAAAGGAGGAGGAGGAGAAAGAGGGGGAGGAGGACGAAGAGAGGAGGGAAAAGAAGGAGGATGAGGCAAAGGGAGGAGGCGGAGGAGGAGGAGGAAGAGGAGCAGGTGATGTCTGCGCGGCCGTTTGGGACGCTTGTGAGGAGGAGGAGCAGGAGGAGGAGGAGGAGGAGGAGGAGGAGGAAGAACAGGAGGAGGAGGAGGAGGAGGAGGAGGAGGTGGTAAAGGAGGTGGAGGAGGGGGAGGAGAAAGAGGAGAAGAGGAGGAGAAGTAGGAGGAGGAGGAGGGGGAGAAGGAGGAGGAGAGGGAGGAGAAGGGGGAAAAGGATGAAGGAGGAGGAGGAAGTGGAGGAGGAGGAGGAGGAGGAACGAGTCGAGGAGGACGAAGAGGAGGAGCAGGAGCACGAGCAGTTGCAGCAGGAGGAGGAGGAGGAGGAGGAGGAGGAGGAGGAGGAAAGGAGGACGAGGAGCAGGAGAAGAGGAGGAGAAGGTGGAGGGGGAGAGGGAGGAGGAGGAGGAGGAGGAGGAGGAGGAGGAGGAGGAGGAGAAGGAGGAGGAGGAGGAGGAGGAGGAGGAGAAAGAGGGGGAGGAGAAGGAGCAGGAGGTGGAAAAGGGTGGAGCAGGAGAAGGCGGTGTAGGAGGAGGAGGAAATGGAGGAGGAGGAGGAACGGGAGCAGGAGGAGGACGAGGAGAAGGAGGAGAAGGAGGAGAAGGTGGAGGAGGAGGAGGAAGATAGGAGGAGGAGGAGGAAAAGAGGAGGACGAGGAGGAAAAGAGGAGGAGGAGGAAGCGGAGGAGAAGGAGGAGAAGGAGGAGGCAGCAGCGTCGTGGGGAGGGTGTTGTCTGGAAGGTGGAGGCCTAAAGGCAAACCTTTTGGACGCCTTTCTGGCGCCCTGTGCAGTTGGCTGGGGGCCTTGTGTGACCTTCGTGGAGCCTTGAAGGCGTGGTCGCTCTTTGGGGCGTCGCGTGGATTTGGTCGAAGCCTTTTTTTGGAGTGTAGTGGCCAGGGAGAAGCGTTGAGCAATGTAGGGGCCGTCTGGGTTGTGTGGGCAGAGGCTCGGGAACCCGGGAAAAGCGTCGAACCATGTATCGGGGGGCGCGGGGATGGCCGTCCGAAGGGTGGCTGGGACTCGTCAGTCAGAGCCGTCGTACACCGTATTCAAGCCGTCGGGGGGGCGTCCTGAGCCGTTTGGGGTGTTTTGGCAAGGAGTCGGCGACTAAGAAGGAGCGGCGAAAAAGGTATCGGGAGCCGTCTGGGCGTCTGGGCGTGTCAGGGAAGAGTGGCGGCGATGGCCATCCGGGGTTCGAAAGGCTGGGTTGGACCGGGGGAAAAGGTATCTGGGGGGGGGGGGTGGGCCATCCGGGGGGATTTTTTCCTTACAGGATGTATAATTATAGGAATATATATATATATATATGTGTGTAGACATGTGTGTGTGTGCTATCATACACGGGCGTGTACACATACATTGTACATGCTGGTGCACGTACATGTATATGTTGGTGCCCCCCCCCGCGGCGCGCGGTCGCCGCCAACTCGTCGATCGTCGCCGCCGCCGTCGTTGCTCGTCATCGCCCCCACCGCCGCTAGTGTCGTCGTCGTCGACGTTTTCGTTGTCGCTGCCGCCGTGTCGTCGTCGTCGTCGCTGGCGCCACCGCCGCCACGGTCGTCGTCGTCATCATCGTCGTGTTCGTCTTCGCCTTCGCCTTCGTCTTCGCCGCCGCCGCCGCCGTCGCCGCCGCTGCCGTCAACGGACTGACATCGAGCATCAAAACAGTCGAGGAAGAGGTAGAGAAGTTGCCGGGCTTCGACAAGGCAAAGCGGGACAACGAGCGCAATAATGAGAAGTAGGACCAGCGGAGCCAGAGCGCGCGCGAGCGCGGCAACGCCAAGAAGCGCAAGGCAGAGTAGATCGTAGGCCTGAGTCGCTGGGAGAGAGTTCCGACTGAGCAGCTCGGGGCCAGATTTGATCCACGACGCTGGTAGGCCCAGTGGGCCTTCCTGGTCGCGCCCCCAACCCCTCTGGGCGCCTCCATCAGCCCCAGGGGGCCAGTGGAAAACCCGTGGAAATCCGATGGACTTCGTCACCACAGCCGTCGTCGTCGTCCCACCGCAAGGTGCCCAGAGAACGGAAGCGGAAGCGGCTGGAGGACTCCCGTGGCCGCACGGGGGGGGAGGGGGCGCACGGGGGAGACCCCCTCTTTTCCGAGCTCGTCCTCTTTCTCCTCCTCCTCCTCCGCCTCATCATCCTCCCCTGTCCTGCTCCGTCCTGCCCCCTCCTTCTCCGTCCTCCTACCTCCTTCCTTCCTCCGTCCCCAGCGTCCCTTCCTTTCTTAGAGCCCCATTATCTCCGTTCCTCCTTTTACCTCCTACCCCTCCCCCCATACCCCTCCTTCCTCATCATCCCGTTTCCCCTTCTCTCGCTCCAGATTGTATGTTTTGTCTTCTTCCTCCGCTTAAGCTGCAGTTCAAACTGACAAGTTGCATCACGGATGTGCGTCGAGCCATTTTCGTAATGGCAGTCTTGCGATGGGTTTCCGCACGACGCATGATGAATTGGGCGCGGCCCCAGGCTCTGGCCGTCGCTCTGCCAACACAGCACAGGGCTTAGCAAGGCAGCGCAATGCTGAGCGCAATGCTGGTCATATCACTTGAGATTTCTCGTCGGTTCGCGTATCCCCACCAGAACCCCACCCACGGATCTTTGGCCACGCTGATTGCAGGCCCGTGGAGCCTGAGGTGACTGGCTGAAGGCCCCCCCCCCCTCACGCTTAACCCTTTGAAGTCCGACGGCGTGCCCGCGTGGCTTCCCTTCTCCGGCCCTTCCCCGGGTGACACCTGGCGCCTGTTGGGTCCTCGTGTTGGGTTCGCTCGGGTCCTTCGCGTGATTCAACTGCTAGCGGCTATCGGCTGCCCTCCTCCCCTCCTCCTTGCGCCATGGGTACGATGGTGGCGTCCCATCGGCTTGTGGCACTCAAGGACTCGCAAGTCTCCAGGCTGCTCATTGGCAGGCCACAGGTGAAGGTGCTGGGCCAGTCCACGTGCGTCCTCCTGGGAGTGAGGTGCACTTTCACTGCGTCCGCCCACGGTATCCGTGGGTTTCGCTTGTGGGGCTCGGCTGCAATAACCCTCCCCACTGCTCTGGGCCTTCCTGCGTACCGGCCAGCTCGCTCTCGTGGTAAGGCTACGGGCTGCAGCACTACGCAGCACGGGGTTGCCGGCAAGCTGCAGTCGCCCTTCACCGTGCCTGGGGCACGGCAGACGCCTGTCGGCGGGATCGGTGTGTCTTAGTGAGCTTGTTGCCCCGCAGTTTGGATGCACCGAGTCATCTCCTGGAGTGAGGATATATAGCAGCGGGCTACGGCGCGCCACTTTGGCACAGGCTGTGGTATCAGGATTGGGACCTGGGCAAGGCACGCTCGTCAGTCAGTGTACCTTATTCGGCGGAGTTATCCAGTCGCGCTCTTGTGGTAATTGGTGAGCACTGGGTGCTCCGTGAGTGAGGGTTCCCTCTGCCTGCTCTCGCTCCTTTCGCTCTGCCGATAGGTCGTTCTTCTGCTGCCTACTGCTGAATTGGCCGTCGCGGCTGCATGGGTACAGGCCCCGTGCGTGCTGTGGCTGGCAAGTGGTCGCTGCTTGCGGGCGCCGTTTGGGCGGCTCCTCGTTTGCTCGCGCTTCCGTCCGCCGCTCCCGCCGCCTTCGGCTGGTCTGGCCTTCTTCCCGAGTTGGCGCCGACAGGGCGACTCCTCGCTGCATGTGCAGTTCGCGCGTTCTCGCGCTAATTATCTTGCGCTGTGCCCCAGCCTCGGTGTTTACGCCCTCTGGACTTTTCCTTGCGGGCCGCTAATCAAAAACAAATATCCCCACCAGACCCTGCTGGTTAGCGGTAGCTCTGGACGGTGCCCGACCTTTCTTTCTGCGCTCGCGATCCAACAAAAAAACACCAGCCCATGCAGAGACGATGCCAAGAAGGAAGGAAGGAACGGACGCGGGCAAGGAGGAAGGAGGCGGTCTGTGCGGATCTGTTGTGGTGAGGCGTCTTGGCGTCCCCGTGGGGTGTATTGGGGCCCTCTTGGGGTTATTTTGAGGGAACTTGGGGCCGTCTTGGGGCTCTGTGGGAAGGTCTGGAAGCCTCTTGGGGCCGGCTTGAAAGCCGCGGTTCAGAGAGAGAGAGAGAGGAGAGGAGAGGAGAGGAGAGGAGAGGAGAGGAGAGGAGAGGAGAGGAGAGGAGAGGAGAGGAGAGGAGAGGAGAGGAGAGGAGAGGAGAGAGAGAGAGAGAGAGAGAGAGAGAGAGAGAGAGAGAGAGAGAGAGAGAGAGAGAGAGAGAGAGAGAGAGAGAGAGAGAGAGAGAGAGAGAGGAGAGAAGAGAGAGAGAGAGAGAGAGAGAGAAGAGAGAGAGAGAGAGAGAGAGAGAGAGAGAGAGAGAGAGAGAGAGAGAGAGAGAGAGAGAGAGAGAGAGAGAGAGAGCGACGTCAATTCAGACCCCCCCCCCCTCTCTGAGGCCGCACGATGGCGTCTTGAGGACATCTTGGGGCGCCCCTCGGGCGCGTCTTGGGCTCTCCTGGAACTGGCGTGGGGCCCTCTTGCGCCCTTCTTGGAGCTCCCTTGGGTCATCATGACGCCATCTTGAGGCCCCGGAGGCCCATCGCAAGCCCAAAGGCCAGACGACAAAACAACATTGAGACTCCTTTCGCGTTTGCTGGAGTTGGGCCTCTTGGGGGGGCATTGGAACGCTCGAAGGGTACTTGGAACCGTCTTGGGGTGGTATTGGGGCCTGTTCGAGGCATGCTGGAGACCACTGCAACAGCAGCAGCGATGACCACCACCATAGCAGCAATGACCACTACAACAGCAGCAGCATCTACACCGCCGACGCTCATGGGCCCCACGCCACGCGCAAGGCCATCGAGGTCATAGAACGCGGCCGAGGGGGCCAGACTGTCAAACGAGAACAATGACGCCCGCCCCCGCGAAGAGACAACTCCAACCTCCACGCGCCCCGCAGCAGACACCTCGCCACCAACCCCGCGCCGAAAACCCTAGCCCGCTATGACCCCCGCCGCAAGCCGCCCCACCGCCACCAGCATGCCCATCATATTACAAAAGGTGGGCCCCAACGACATGGCAACGAGGTTGCGGGAGCTGGACATCTGCGCAGGATTGTCATTCAACTCGGCGAATCAACGTAGTTTCCCACGCTCGTGGACCGTCTACCTTCTCAGAACCCGAAGCCCGTCTCCAGCCAGGCTTGCTGCTCCGACGCCGAAACCCTCGAGCCATCATGGGGCGACTCCAGCAAGTGCCTACCCTTGCCCGTTTGAAAGAGGGGCACGTCAACAACTAACGACGAGTTCTTTTACAAAGGGCAGAGGATCACCGTCCAAAGCCCGCCGCTTGCGCCACGGCGATCGAGGCACCCGCCATCGCCATTGAAAGCGAGGGCACGATCACCACTTGCCCGATCAGTACACGTCGGCTCATCTGCCATAGTGGGCCAGGCAACCAAATGCAACCACGGCGACGGCCTCTATATGAGATAACTGGACGCCATCAAGAACAACGTCATGGGCACGACCGCGAATGAACCCTGGGACGACCTAACAGGAAACCCTGAGGCTGAGGCCCACATCCGAGATCTCATGAAGAACCAGCACGAGAGCTTCCTGCACGCGGAAGGCATCGAGAGAATCATCTGCGACCCCCAGACGGCGAGCCCACATGCGGCACCATGCCTTTTCAACACCAACTACGCCCAACCTTCCTCGATCGAGCCGACGCCCCACGCCGCGACGCCGACGCCAAGGCAGCAAGAACCAGCAGCGGAAGCGAACTGCACCCAGCAGGACATTGGCGACTTCAACCATCAATCGCCGACGCACCAAGGCGCGCCCGGTCGGCGCCTACATCGACTCAGCACAGCCATCCTTCGCCAAACGATGCGCAAAGAAACGCCCACCCAGCCGATCCAATCAGTGCCATTTGCATGCGCCACGACGCAATCACCCGCATGGTGGCCAACAACCGTGCGGCAGCTCACCCCGCCGCGACTGGGGCGCGCCCGCAGAAGGAGTGACGCCAGAAGGCGCCGCCGCCAAACGACCAGCTCTGGAAGGCGGTTCCAGCTAAGCCTCCACGGCCACGCCACGATAACGCTGGCATGCCCATCATCGCAGCTCAACTGCCCGACGACAGGAGGCTCGGCCCAAGAACCAGTCTTTTCAACCCCACACCGGCGATTCAGAAAGTACCTAGCAAGTTGGACCCCAAACCGACTCTGCGCACGCGCGAGGGCAACGTTCACGCGCCTTGCAAGCCAACCCCACCACCAATGAGGTCCACCAGGCACATCGCCACCGCAGCCATGTCCACCGTCTACGAGGGAGCCCAGACACCCTTCGAGGAGCCACCCAGGGGCGTGGTTGTCCGACATCCAGCACGGCGTCAGTGTCATCAGCAGCATCCACTACGCCCCGATCACGTCGCACTACAAGATACACGCCCACAGGATCATCAAGGACTGGATCGAAAACATCAACAACCCATAGGCGCTCTACGATTGGGAAGTGGACCCGAATCGCATCGACCGCGTCGAGCACAACCAGGCCCTGCACTAGCTCCACGACGCCCCGAGCAAAAACTTCGGAGAACCAGTCGGCCACCGCGTCGCGTCTTTCAAAATGACGACAACTAGACGGTGCTAGCGCGCTTCATCATCCACGCGCCGCACAGCATCTTGGCATGTCCAGCGGCTGAGGACCGCGAGGATATACGCACGCGACACCAGGCCCGACGTGAACGCGACGAATCTACAGCTACGTCAAACTCGCCTTGCGCTACAGACCGACAGGGGCACCAACGCCGCTCACCACGCCCCCCCATCAGAAGGGCATCGCCAAGGACAGGATCCATTGGATGAACCTGCTGCTACGGCACAACGGCCGAGCCAGCCCAGCCTAGACACGATATCCAACTGACCAAGAACCTGACCACTGTGACCCACCACCTCGGCTCGCGCCGGGCACAAGGCACCGGGGCCCCGCGACGGGCCCAGAAGGTCACGACAACAACCAACCGGCGCAGAGCCAAGAAAGCGGCCACCAGCAGGGGCCCATTTCCAGGACAGGCACCTGCAGCGGCACAGACACCTCTTCCGACCGCCGACCTCTTCACAGGAAGTCTCGCCCTCGCGATCGACTGCAGGTCTTTCAACCAGCATATGCAGAAGCTCCGACTGGCTTTGCACGCGTTGCGGGCATCCCCGCTGCAGTGCACGCCACCACCACGACCACCAATAACTAAGGTCACGATCGCCGACCAAAATTCTCCCTTCAGCGACGTCTACCCACGCGACGCCAGATGCCCAGTGCTGCGCGCGGGCGCTAGTGCCATCGCGGACCAGGTCGAAGATGAATACAACCCTGGCAACGGCAACTTGGATTACAAAAAGACGGACTCTGGCCCAACAGGTTTGAATCTGGCACGGGAACCGCGCCCGAAGCAGACAACCCCACAGCGACCATGCCGACAGCGTGGTCGACGAGAACACGACGCCCACCCCACGTGGTTTCACCCCCAAGTCAAAGCGCACCACAGACCTCTCGTCTCCCAGCAACCGACGGCGAAGAGACGAACGCCGCCCTCATGCCGAGACTGACCCTGCCGCGCGGAGGCCCGTCAGTGCATCGAAATTGCCCCCGCGCCAATTCTGCGACCAGCGACTGTGGACACCCCGCCATGTCGGATTAGGCGCGTCAGCGCTACCAGCTGTCCCACCACCGACCCCCGACCTTTGCACGATCCTTTTTCTAAAGCCGCCGCACTCACTGTTGCGACAGCAGCAGCAGCAGCAGCAGCAGCTGGATACCACTCCCTACGGCGCACAGGACACGACTCATTCCACGGCCAGGCGGCGGCAGCACCAGCACACGGCGGCAGCGGCAATTTGAACGGGCGAGGAATCGCTGGTCCACGGCAGTAGCTGTCTCACCCGCATTCACCCGACGTGCCGCACGCACCCGCTGCAGTTCTATCAACAACGGGCTATGCTATGCAGTGGGCCCACGGTCATACATGGCTCCAGAACCCGCCGTGGCTCCTCACCAACATATGTTCATCAACCGACGCGGTGCCATGTGGACGAAACTTATCCGACGTATATTTGTGGGTTCGCGGTTACATAGGACCCCGAAGCCCGCCGCACCTGCCTCGCCCGCAATGGTCAGTATCATTGCCAACTGATGAAGTCCTTTCACGCGCCTCCTTGGTGTCATCGCAATCCCGCCGTCGCGGTGCCTTGGAGGCAGCGACACGCAGGACACACCATCAGCCAGGCCGCTGCAAGCTCTCGGCTAAATTCCACTCCGTATTGGCTGCCTACTTCTACCATGTCCTCTCCACTCCCACCCTCCATAGCTAACCCACGCCTCCACGGCTCTTGTGGGGCGGGGTGGGCGGGCGAAGCAATGGAGGCGGAGGGAACAAAAGAAGCGCCGCTGTCTGTCCTGGCAAGGACCAGGGCGGCCGCGGCACACAGCCATCGCTCGTTGAGCCATCGCCTCACCACCCGCCGTCTCGCGAGATCTCGCGCCCGCGTCTCTCACGCGCGCCTCTCAGGGACGGTTGGCCCCCTGTGCCCAGCCACCTCGCCCTCTCGTTGCATGTTGGGTCAGCACCGTCGCCCTCTCACGCCACTTAGGTGCCAGCCAGTCGCGTTGAAGGTAACCGGGGAGCACTGTCACTCAGGCACACTGCAGGAGGACGCCACTGGCCGCTCTGGCACAGGCCAAGGCGGCCGCGGCCAGCAACATTGCCCCTCCTTGCCGCCACTAAGCCGAGGAGGTATCGAGCGGGGGGGGGCGCCAACGGGGCCGCCGCCACTGGATGGCGCAAACCTCACACCACATGGTGGGAAGCCCGGAGCGGCCCCCCAGTTCGGCCCTGGGTGCCCTTCGCCTGCCTCGGCTGATGAGGGTATTGGGGTTCGAGCCGGGGGTCGCCTTCGTAGGCTTCCGCAGGGCAGGTGGGGGCGGCCCTTGCGCCACCCCATTTTGGCACGCGTGGTCACCTCACACTAATTACCGTGCCCGCCGCTCGCAGTCGCTTTTTCTGCACCCAGACGTCTACCAGCCACCGTCCACTGCCACCTCAACTCCCTCGCCCTCCCAGACTAAGCAGGTGTCAGTCAGGCGCGCTGGGTGGAACCGGGGGACACCGTCACTCAGGCACCCTGCGAGAGGACGCCACTGGCCGCTGTGGCATAGGCCAGGGCGGCCGCGGCCAGCAGCCCTGCCTCACCTTGCCGCCAACATCGCGGGGGGGGCTCACATAAGTGGGCCGCCGCCAGCGGGTGGCGCAAACTTTCTGCCACCCGGTGGGAAACGCCGAGCGGCCCCTTCGGCCTTGGGTACCCTTCGCCTACCACGGCGGGTGGGAGGTGGGAGAGACCCCTGCGCCATGCCACTTTGGCGCGTATGGCCGCCGCACACGCCCATGTCCGCCGCTCACCGTCGCTTTCTGTACCAGCCACCGTCTACTGCCACCTCGCCGCTCCCTTCTCACATATACGTGTCCAGTTGTCTGTGCTGTTTTCTCCTCTCCTCTTGACTGCGTCGCGCCTGCATTTTTCATTCGCACGCAGAACTGCAGCGGCCCTTCGAATCGCTGCAGGCACACTAGTTTGACTACCCCTAGGGGCCACCGCCCCTTTGGGGGGGACGCGGCAGCATCCGACGGGTACACATGCCATCGGCTTGTAGCTCGTAGCAGGAGCAGCGGGAAGGGAGGCGAGGAGAAGGAGCAGAACGAGGAGGAGGAGGAAAAGGAGGAGAAGGAGGAGTAGGATGGAAACAGCAGAGGAGCATAAAAACGGAATGGAGGGAGGAAAAGGGATGAAGGAGGAGGAGGAGGAGGAGCAGGAGGAGGAGGAGGAGGAGGACTTGAGGAGGACGACAATGACGACGACAAGGGCGAGGAGGAGAAGAAGGAGAGAGTGAGGAATAATGGGAAGGTGGAGGAGTAGGAAGAGGAGGAGCAGGCGAGGTGGGAGAAGAGGGAGGGTAGGGGAGGTGGAGGAGGTGGAGGAGAAGGAGGACGAGGAGGAGGCCCCGCCCCTTCCCTTGGGCCGCCGCGCACGGCTGGTGCCAGCCCCGCCCCGCCAGGACTTCCACGGCGCTCTGTCGGGGCCTCAGGGTTGCCGCGGCCTGGAGGCGCAGCGCCTTCCTGCCCATCCCCTTGCTCATCCGACTCCTCCGAGACCTTTCCACGCTGGAGTGGAAGCCCGCTGGCGCCTGCGAGTTCTCGGCCCGCGCCGAGTACCTTCTGCGCAGGGTCGTTTCCAAGCAGCTGCGTCTCGCCAGAGCGACCGTCGCGGCGGCGGTCGGACTGGCCGCACCTCGCCTCCCTAAGGGGGTCTTGGGCGTCGACGCCAAAGAGCCCCCCAAGTCAGAATTCAAACTCCGCAGAGCAGGCGATGCAGTCACAAGCTTTCCCCCGGGTGCAATATCGCATGTTGAAGACTCCAGGGTGTTTCGTCACCAGCAGAATTCAAACGTCCATTCTCACAAACAAAGAGAGGGTGGACAACGATACACCCAGCCACCAACCCATGAATGTATGGCCGCCGTGGAAAGAAGAAGATCACAATGGACAATGGGTAAGGCGTGCCAGTGGGTGGCCATGACAAACAGAGCGTTCCAATACCACGCTGGAGACCCATGGCGAGGAACCCAGGCCCTCTTGCTGATAAGAAGCCCATACGAACCACTGTAGCCGAAACGATGAGCCGTACATCGTCCACTCAAGGGGTCCGTAGGTCATACCACGGTAGGGTTGTGCCAACAGCCCCCGCTCTACTTGAACTTTGTAAGGCGGAGAAGTGATATGATAATGGCTGACGGCCAGCATAAAAATCAGCCCCAACGCCTGATACGAGGTAAACGACGATGGCGGGCACCAAATGATCCCCCACCCACTTTGCATTGGCACAGTGTGGCGCAAGACAGCCTGCGGTTCCTCCTGCGCCAGCACGATGGCAGCGCACGGCCAATCCATCGTCGGCGAAACACGCCAACCAAGCGGTGCTCCAACACTGGCGCACGCGCACGAGGAAACGCGTGGCACCTGGTTTGAACAAGTGACGTTTGCCACGCTTGAGCCAAACTGGCTGTAGCCAACACCGCTGCGGGCCGCATCCTCTCACACTTCCCTCAGTATTGTCATCCCCCCGAGGTGGCGGATCATCTCTCCTCTTTTTCCTCCTCGTCTTCCTCCTCGTCTTGGCATCAAATTCCGCGTGTACATGTCCTGCGCTTGATTGAAATGGATACATTACGAGGTAGAAACGTTCAGTCTCTCTCTCTCTCTCTCTGAACGGTGACAGGCATCCCTGCTCGTTTCGATTCTCTGTGGGGGTGTCATCCGTGGATCACGAAGTAGGTGATGTCTGAGTTCCCTCGGAACCCAACCACAGGGAGTTCTTGCCGAAGAAAATGACTAGACGTCTGAAAGCCCTTCGGGTTCCCACCGTTCTCAGTAGGACCATGGTCGTCAGGGTCAGCGCGTGGGTGGGACAAGAGAGGCTTGTGCTCTCTGACGTTCAGGCGCGTGCCCGAAGAATGCACGCAGTTGAAAAGGATAGCACGGTGCACTTCGCCACGGGTGGATTGGGCGTTTTCTGTCGGTGGAGTACGCCTAGCAATCTTAAAGCCACTATCCAGAGGTGTGCTTCCTGGCGTTCCCCTGGCCTATTCCTAAGAGGTTGGCTGATCCCGTCCTGGATTGGGAAGCTGGATCGTGATGATTGGTTTTTAGTTGCTGTTGTTTGGGGTGCAGTGGGGCAGATCTCGCGACCTGATGTGATGTGCTCTTACTGTCTGGTTCCTCTCTGCCCACATTACCCGTCGGACGGGGTCGGCTTGTTCTGGCTATTTCCTTTTGAAGGCCCGTCTGAGGCAGCCCGCCCGACGGCGCCCAACAATCCTAGAGGCTCTGAGGGTCCTTCGGTGTGGGGTTGCTCCCATTGCCCCTCCTCCCCCTCCTGGCCCCCCCGAGTTGACTGCGCGTGTTGACGTTCCTCCCTTTTTCTTGTGGCCCCGGTTGCGTCACCCACTGGTTGTGTTGCATCTCCCCCCCGCCGTGCGCCTGAGCTGATAGTTATTGCTGGGCCGTCGGTGGCGGCATTGGAGGCTGGCTCGCCGTTTCCCTGTCGCTTCTGGTTGTCGTTTTCAGTTGCGTCTTGATTGCCGCGCTCTTTCAGCGGTGGATGGCTGGGGCTCCACGCCCCGCCCCGCGCCCGCCCTTGCTCTCTTGCGCGACCAGTCGAACTCCCCGCTGCTACGTGCTGAAGAGAGGGTCCCCGCGGGGAAGGCGTCACGAATCGCCAGCGCGGGGGTCTTCTCATCCTCGCCTGCGGTATGATGCCCACGCCGCAGGTCATCGTCACATTCCACTCGCCGCCTCTTCAGTAGCGCCGCAGCAGGAGTATTGGCTGACCATTTGCCGAAGGTGGGTGTGCTGGCAGCCAGTTAGCTCTCGTGTTTTCTTTGGGGGGGGGGCTCCCCCCCCCCGTGGCACCATGGCGACCATGACGACCATGACGACGACGACGACGACGACGACGACGACAACGACCATGACGAACATGACGACGACGACGACGCCGACGACGACGGCAACGACGACGACGACGACGACGACGACGACGACGACAGCGGTGGCGACGACGACGATGACGACGACGACGAGGGGCGGGGTCCGTACGCCCGCCCCCCGCGACCTCCCCGGCGGCCCCCGTCGAGAGCGGCGCGCTACCCCCGGAGCTGAGGCCCACGATAAAGGCCGCCCTCGAGAGGCCAGAGGTGTCCGAGGACTTACTGGGCCAGCGCGCCGCGGTGGAGGAAGAGAGAGCGGCACGCGCATGAGTTGTCGGAGGCCCGCGAGGATCTTACCAGGCGAAGATCGGCAAGGTCGTGTTATATCGTTCTATGCCTGCTAAGGATCTAGCTCTTGGATCTGCGCTGAACCCCCCTGGCGGCGACTCCGGCGCCGCCCCGGGAGCGCTCCGCGGGCCAGGGAGAAAGGGGGGGGTCCAGTGACTTAGTGCGGATGCGGGAAATCCGCGGCGTGGCCTCCGAGAGTTTGTGCTCATGCCGTGTTCTGTTCCTCCTTGGGGGAGGGGCTAAACCTCGAGAGGCCTCGCGAGAACAGAAGGGTCGCGGCGACCGCCCCTTCAGTGTTTCGGCGTTAGTCGGGCCTCCTTCAGGCCCCCAGGCAGCCTGCCCCTGCTCCTCATCCCCCTCTTGCTCCTCATGCTCGTCTTCCTCATCCTCCGGCTTCTCGTCTTGCTCCTCTTCCCACCCTGCGCCAGTGAGACGGGTGACAGAAAACAGCAGAAACAGAAAATGGGGAGGGGGGTTGCAAATTGGGAGCGGGGGGCGCGAAACAGAGTATGTGCGGTTTCAGAATGGACGGAGGATCGGGGATCGCGGAGGGGAAGGTTTGGCACATATCATGGCGCCCTCTTGGCCAGTCGTGGGGGCCTCTCCGGAGTCTCTTGGAACGTTCGGGGGACCTTTGGGACGTCTCCTGGGACCGTCTTGCGGGGCTCTTCGGAGCGAGAGGAGGAGCATGCAGGAAAGTCCCCCCCTCTTTGTGGACGCGTCTTGAAGGCCAAGGTGACACATGCGCATTCCCCAATCAGAGCTTGTCGTTGTAGGGGTCCTAGCGGATTCATATGGTTAGGTGAGGTTCGCCGCCAATTTCGGTGGCTGGCCAGGTGCCTGGGTGCCCGGGTGCGCCCGGGGGTTCCCCGGTGCCCGGGTGCCCAGGTGCCCATGTGTTTTGGCCCTTGTTGTGCCGTTTTGGGGCTCTCTTGAACTGCCTGGAAGCCCTTTCGGATGGTTGTGGGCCTCCAAGGGGCTTCGGACGCCCAGAAGACCGCCGTCTTGGAGCGTCGGGAAGCCGAAAGAGGAGAACCCCAAAATTCACGGAAAAAAACAACAGAAAATCAATGATGTTTGCCTATCGGGGCCTTCTTGGGAGTGCTCTTGGAGGCCTTTTGGGATGTGTTGGAGCGATCTTTGGGGGTATGACGGCTTCTTGGGGGTCGTTGTGGACCGTATTGGGGCTCTAGGGTCGTTTCGGGAGTGCGCCGGAACGTTTGGAACCCGTCTGGGGCCGTCGTCGGGCTCTCATGAGGTTCTCCCGGGTCGTCTGATGGGTTGCTTGGAGACCTAGGCAGGACCAAATTCGTTAGGGGGGGGGTCCGCGTCCCTGGCCCTGAAAAATATGTGAAGTGGAGTATATCTGTATAAGGCGAGAACAATGACGGGGAGAAAAATCCCGTACCCGATAACTGGCGTTTATTAAACCGCCCTGGCCGTTTACTAAATAGCCCTACCCTGTTCGATTCCTTCTTTGGGCGCGTTTACTAAACGGCTTCGCTTGTCGGGGTGGTTATTTTTGGGGTGGATTTTTTGCCCCCTACACAAGCGTACAAGCACTGAAAACAAAAACAGCACCTCAACAAAACAAAGTACAACACATGCCAAAAAGAACGCAGGAGCTGCACAGGCTGGTGTCCGAGGGCCCGGGCACGCTGCACAAGGCGAAGCGCTACCTGCACGGGGTCCGTCCGCGCGCGGCCCAGGATGAGTGGGGAGGTAGGGGGGGGGAAGGGTGTCCAGTCGCACGGAGGCCCTCAGGAAAAGATCGTTCCCCTCGCGAGCGTGAGAAGATCTAGGCTCGAGGGCCGATGCTTCGGGTGGCCTTCGAAAACATGATTGACCCCTTCTCCCCCGTCGCTAATCCACGGGTCGCCAATCCATGTTTATGTTTACCCGGGCGAACAGAACGTGTGGCAGTCGAGCCCACATGAAAGTTTGAGAGCCGTGCGGTGCAGGCACGCCGTCCTGCGGGTGCACCAGCAACAGTGTGACGCGTTTCTGCTTGAATCAGAGGCCGAGCTCGACGTCAGCAAGCCCAGAGAGGGAGGGGACTGCAGTCATCCGCTCTCGGAGCTCATATGTGGTAACGACGATCATGCGAAATGTGTTGCGTGTAGGTTGTCCGCTGAGCGATTTTGCCTCAGCAGACCAAGTCGCTGACCAAGAAACGGATGAGAGCGACTGGAAATCACGTCCTCTGCGCCGCAGCTCGTTGAACAAATCCAAGGACAGTCTTGGAGCCCTCGGCGAGTCGTCGTCGTCGGCGGCGGCGCAAGAGAAGGAGGAAGAGGAGGGGCCAGCCAGGGAGGATGGAGGAGCAACGGGGGTCGGGGGGGAGAAAGAAAGTGATGAGGAATAGCGTCGGGGACGGCTGCCTTGGGTGTGCTGCGGCACGGGCTGCCGCGGCAACCCCAGGAGAGAGACCCGTGTGGTTGCCAAGGTTGGGCTGAGGTGGCCCACGAGCTGGGACGCGGCCTTCTGGCACGTAGCAACCCCGAACGCCGTCAAGGAGCGCCCAAGCCGAGGGGCAAACATAGACGCGCGGATTTCGCCACCTCTTGCGAAGTTCCCTCCACCCTCTCCTCCTCCTCCTCCTCCTCCTCCTCCTCCTCCTCCTCCTCCTCCTCCTCCTCCTCCTCCTCTTCCTCCTCCTCCTCCTTCCGTATCCATTGTGGTTCAAGGCCAAGATGGTTTCCTCTTCACTGCCTCCACGGGGTCAGCTCCCACAGGCCTCGGTTTTCCGAGCGCTGCAACCTCCAGGGGCTTGCAGCGGCCCAAACGCTTTCCTGCTCATCGCATTGGGCTGGCAGGCGGCCATCCATATCATCCATGTTGTGTCGTCGTCGCGCGGTGGTTCCGCACTCCCGCTGGCGGCTGGTGTCCCTTTCAGCGTGACATGCCCAACTCTTCAGACGAGGACCGGAGTACGAACCGCAGCCAACACCGCCATCGGAGAGGAGGCGCACATCGTCGCTGTGCCACCGCCGCTGCAGACACCCTCACGTTTATGGCATCAGGTGCTGGAGGACAAGGACCGCCAGATCGGGACGCCCATCAGCCAGACCAGACTCCTCCCGCCTTCCTGGTGGACAACAGCAAGACCCGATCCAGCAGTCCGACCCGTGGCGACCTCGTGGACCACTCCAACTTGACGCCGAGCAGCAGCGCGCCCTCGAGAGGGACCTGGAGGCGTTCCCCACCTTCGCATCGCAAACAGAAGGCCCCAGTCAATATGCTGATCGCGTCCCTACCGCTCCCGTCGGTGGCCTTCCCACGCCGGTTGCTGAACGCCCTCCGGTTCGGCTACCCGGGCTTCCTGAGGACCTTGACCGCGCACTTTGAGATTTCATGCAGCACCAGATGTCCCAAGCCGTTGGCGCTTTCAAACAGCAGGCAGACACCCTCCTGGACCAGTCCCGTGAGAGTTCCCGCCAATTCCCTCAACACCAAGTACTACAGACTGAGCTCAGGGCGAACTGTCTCCAAGACCAGGTGGCGAACACCAAGCGCGAACAATACCGTCAAGCAGCTGAACAAAAGAAGATGTGGGTGGAAATCGACAAGATGAGCGACACCATCGCGCTCGCGGAGGCCCAGCTCCCTGTCGCAGACTTCTCCAGGCCCTCCGAGTGGGGCCGCTCGCCCGACCCGCCCCCATTCCCCATCGGCGAGCGGACCATGTCCCCGAGCGCTGTTTTCAACGACCTCCGCGCGTGGATCGCAGACGCTGGCCTCCAGCCTGCCAAGTGGAGCTACATGGCGATGCTCCAGCCAGACGCTTCATCCTGCAGGTCAAAGGCGCGAATGAGGTGGCCATCCCACGAGCGCTCGCCCTTCAACGTGCTCTCCGCGACGCTGCTGGCAGATGGCGGCGCCTCTATTCCACGCACGCCAATGGGCAACGGCTCGACATTTTCATCGACCCCGACAAATCCCCCGAGCTGGTTCGCGCAGAGATCCAGCGCGAGAAGCTTCAACAGCCCCTCGCCCAGCGACCCCCCCCCCCCCTTCCGCAGCTGCGCTGGAGTGCGCTCCGCGCGAAGGGCGAGATCCTCTGCGACGCGGCCCCGCTGGCGCGCCTCAACCTCAGGGGCCAGGCCGACCCCGCCATCCTCGAATGAAACGAGCGCGCGCTGGCGAACCCTGAGCTCAACGGCCTCAACCGCGGGGGCGCCCTCGCAGCTTTTTAGGCCTTCTTCGCGGACACAGAGACTGCAACGCGGTGCCCCCAGCCACCCGCGGGCCCCGCGGCGCGAGGTTGACTCCTTCCACGCCGCCCTCATTCATCGTCTGGAATGCCAGAGCACCCATGTGCACCAGGCCCCGCAGGCGGCGCCGCAAGAAAGCAGCTCTCATCGAGCGCATGCGCAGCAAGCGCGCCATCCTGCTTCAGGAGGTCCACGGCGCCGAGGCGTTCCCCCGCACCTGGCCGGGCGTGCATCCGCGCCCGTGCAAGCTCTTCCTCTCCGAGTTCGTGGCAGGCCCCGCGCGCGGGGCGCCCGCCTCGACTGGCGGCGCTGCTATTCTCATCCTCTGGCTCGCGCCAGCGCAGCTGGAGCGCCTCCGCCCTGGCCAGCCCCCCGACGTCGAGCACGCCCCGCTGGTCCCTGGGCGCACCCAGCAGCCGGTCATCAGCAAGGCGAACGCAGGCCACTCCCTCGCCATCATGAACGTCCACAACCATGAACTCCAAGCGCGCGACCATGAAAGGGCCCGCGCAGCTTGGCACGCGCTCCGCGATAGGGCGGCCCACGACTACACCGCGCGCGCCTTCTTGTCCACGGGGGGCTGCAACACCGCCGGCCGCCCGCCGCGCAGTTCCAAGCAGCCCCGGGCGACGCGCGCGCGCGCCTCCAGCTGGGCAACAGCAACCGCCAGCAGCAGCCTTTCTGGAAGGCCCTTTTCGATTTAAAGTTGGAGGCCGAGGACGAGCCCCCCGGGCGCTTCAACGAGGCGGACAACATTGCCTCATCCACCGACCGCGCGTTCATCAGCTTCCCCTCCCACGCGACGCAGGAGCTCTCGATGGTTGTCCACGTCCTGCACGGCCCCGCCATTCTCCCTGGCGGGCGCCTCAGCGACCGCGCCATCATCTCCTTCTCGATCGGCATCAAACCACGCGCCCCACCCGCCGAACAAGCCACTTCTTCAGCTGTGTTCCGCCACCCCAAATACGCCACGTACTTGCAGGAAAGTCACCGACGCTGCGGGCGCGCAGCGCATCCTCATCGAGTCCCGCTGGCGTCTGCACAAGTACTGCATGTCCGAAGCTGCCCGCGCGGTTCGGGGCGACTGGGCCCGCCTCAGCTCGGGGACCTCACCGAGCCAGGCGTCTTGGACGGCAGGGTCTTCACCGCGCGTTCGATCTCTCGGGCGATGTGGCGCCCAGACGTTCAACTGGCACGACCTTTGCGCCGCTACGGAGCTGGGGAAACGCGTCGTCGACATCGACTCCCCGATTCTGAAGCTCACCGATGGTGCCCACTTCGCGAACCTCTCGTCCGCCCTGCACCGCAACTTCGAGGCTCGCCAGCGTTCTCTGGCGCCACAGACAGCGAGGCTCCCGCGGAGCCACCCAGAGGCCCTGCCCATTGAGAAGCTCCAGAGGGCGCTTCGGGCCCCCCAGAAGCGCGCGCTCCTCTGGGCCCCCTGGAAGCGCCGACTCGCCCTCCAAGGGGTCAAGACCACGGGCCTAGATGGCCCTGCTGCCGTCGCCAGAGAGAGTGGCAAAATGGCCGACGGCCCGCGCAACTACCGGCGCTCCGCTTCCCCCCGCAAGCCCGTCGACTCCGACGCCGCCCACGCATGCGTCGACACTCGCATGCCGCAGAGGGACAAGATAGAGCGCCGTGCAACTCCTGGATCGCCCGCGGCCGCTCGCTCGCCATCCTGGAGGACCTGGCCCTCCACCTCTGCGCGGGGCACTCGATCCCCCGTGGCTTGAACGACTCAGACTTTGCGTTCCCCCCGGAGGGTGGCAACCTCCTGGGCGAGCTCACGACTGACCGCCTACCCGAAGACACTCGCCCTCTCTCGCTGAAGAACACGGACATCAAGGCCATCGCAGGCGCCGCGAACCACCACATCAAGCCGTTCGTTGCCGAGCGGATCCACGAGGCGCAGCAGGATTTCGCCATGGGCAGGAACTTCGCGCAGCACAGAGTGCGACTGGACGCTGCAATGCGTCGCGCTGGCCTCTTGGGGAATGCCTCGGAGCGCCGCCCCATCTTCATCAGCTTCGACTTTGCAGCGGCGTTCCCGCCCCTCGGCAGAACGTGGCTCTTCAAAGCGCTGCGCCGCTTCGGGCTGCCGACGGGCTACGCGCACCTGTTCGAGGCCATGTGCCACGCGCCTGCCTCCTCGGTCAAGGTCGACGGCGCACGCCGCCCCACGTTCGCGATCGAGTCGGGAGTTGCCCAGGGCGGCCCTGCGAGCGGGCCCGCCTGGGCGGTTGCAATGGACCCTCTGATTCGCCGCACCGCCGCCGCCATCGAGCCAGGCAGCGCGGATGCTACCTCGCATCGCTACCTGGGCGCATGCGCGGACGACTTGGGCATCGTGCGCGAATCCATCGGAGTGATCGGCAATGTGGCCGAGGCCTTTGATGCTGCCGCTTGCCTCGCGTTCCTCTCGCTCAAGCCTCGCAGGTGCGTTGCCGTCCCTCTTTGGGCGGCAGCGTCGCCTGCCACCGTTGCCCACGCCC